TCAAGACACTCAGCTTCAAATACAATCTAGTATTTGCCTTCTACTAATAATTTCAAACAGTCAAAAATAATTTTAAATTCTTACTTGAAATACTTCAAACAGAAACAATGTGGTGATATTTATGGCATGACCAGCCATCTTTCGCCATGTTCCTTACTTCTCGACCCCATTTCACACAGAAGAACAGACTAAAACGTTTGTCTCCCTCTCATTATTTATTGAAAGTCAAACTGTATTTCCCTTCCTCCACACACCACATGACATCTGCCACCTGGTTTTCTCCTGTCTCTTACCTCTTACTCGTCTCCTCAGAGTCGGACACCAGTGTGACAGGACATGCAGGCAGCGTGGAAAAATATCTGCTGGGTCTACAAACAGCAGCAACTCCACCACTGTACATTCAGAACAACTCTGTTCTGCCATTATGAACGCACGCTAGTTTGGAAAGAGTCACCATCAGGCTCCTGTAGCTTACAAAAGTGACTGTGTCTCCTTCAAGAGTCTCGAGAGCTGCGGGCAGAGTCCTCAGCCTGCTCCCAGGTGGTCATCCCGCGGAGGCAATCTGCAGGCTGTCCACAGCGTCCTGTCTTCACGTACTATAGCAGAGTGCGTACGCAACTGCCATCTCGGGGTAAGCCCTCGTGTGCTGAACACAGTTTTATGCCAGAAAACTTTGCAGCAGCTCTGTTCGCTGCCCTGGTTAAAACAAGCCCAAAGCTACAGGCTGACTGCAAGTTCCCAGTCAGGGGCATGTTACCCACTGGTGTCAGTTTTAGATTTACCGGTTTTCCTTGCCATTCAAGAGAATTTTCCATGTCATTAAAGAAACTTGCCTTTGTAAAGGCTTATAAAGGTTCTTCAAGGCTGTGTTGAAACCACATCTATTTGTAGGGATCTTTATGTTAGTATTTGATACCTCACTTCAAAATATTTTAAATTCAGGAGGCACAGTGTACCATTTCGGTATAATTGTAAGGTGAAATGATGCCAAGACCTGTTTGATATCTCCTCGCATACAGAGGCACCCATCTTTTTAAAGCTCAGGGTTTGTAACTGCAGAACTACCACTGAAGCTATTGTCATTGCTTTTTACAAGACAGAAGTCTTGCACGTAACCTTCTTTCTTTTGAGCACATTTGCTGTCACAGCAGCATCAATTTCCCGACGAGCTTGCAGAAGCATCTGTCTTCGCACAACTTCAGCTCACAATCCTGTAATTAACTTGTTCAGAGACTGGGTGTTCAGAAGCAACAGCTCTTTACACTAGAGAGGAAGAGGATCTAATTTCCAAGAATAATTGTTATCTTAGTTTTCCTTATTATATTCGTGGTTTAGAAAAATGCATGATTTCTCTTCTACATAACCTCCTCAACTTTTACTGATCGCTGTACACTGTATACTGCGAGCGATATTGTTTGGTTATGGTTTATGTTGCAAAGCAACACACGAGAAGCTCACCATGTCTGTAATTCAAAAGTTGCTAAATTCTAAAATATCTCAGCGATGTCCTGCCTACATGGAGGAAGAGAACCCAGAAGTTCTTTACCCCCATCACTATCTTAATAAATATTCCTCTGAGTCATGAATGACTGCCATATGCAGGGATGAATCATGTGAAGGCTTTGCCGGGTCCCTTGAGTTCTGAAAACCTCCACAGAAAAGAAACGAAATTGAGTTCAGACTCCTGAGCCCGTCACTGAGGCTTCGAGGAGTCAAGTGTATCTGAGACACCAAGCTTCAGCTCCAACTGGGAAACTGGAAAGAAGTCTGGGAAAGAAATGTATGCAGACGTCGGCTCCTTTACTCACCCAGTGTAACTGCTGTGCAGCAAACACTCCACAACTCCGTGTAGAGATGTAATTTTAAAAGCTTTCGCTCCTTCGACCATTCTGCTACTGAAAGTTACTTTGAGTTGTAAAATATGTATTCTAAGGTGAGCTTTTACAGATGAATTAATCAGCAACTTGTGACAAAGCAGTTATCATCAGGAGATAATTGACCTTATTTGAGAGTTAAGCATCCTGAGGCAAAGTAGAGTGTGCTTAATCTTGGCAGGTTAATTATCCAGTGATTATGGTAGCTTGGAAGGTATTATTGCTAAGAACCATTTGCAAAATGACACTATTAAAAAAACTTAATTTAATAAAAATTAAAAGCAATGACAATAATCAAGTTCTCCAGTCATGTATTGCCAGATAATGACTGCAGAATGGCCCTAATTGGTTAGCAGTGATGAACATATAACTATTCCTATTCTGAATGTTCTGTACTAAATTTATTATATGAAGTACAGTTAATAAGTATCAAAAATCCAGGACAAGGTGTTTGGTTAGTTACAGATGGGATTTAAATAAATGATCAAAGCACCAGTGGTCACTGAGCTAATGCTGAAACTGATCCTGGTACGGAGTTGCTACCCAGCATTCAGCATCTCCACTGAAGTAAAGGGTACGCTGGAATTTACATTCTAACCCAGAACATTTATTCTGAGAGGTTTATAACTTGCCCATTTTAATTACCATCTGGCTGAAACTTGAAATAACCAATCTCCATTCAGATGTGAATTTTTAAGTAGAGGACGTAATTGAAAATCACTTTGCCAATTGTTTTCAGTTTAGGAATGGCAGCAATTTGGAATTTTGCTGCTCTTGGATGTTATTGCATCACTCACAAAATAAACAGCTCAGTGCTTAACAATAAAATTGTATTTGTCTACAATGTGGAGTGAAGATAAATACATGGAAGAATAAAAATTGTGTCTGAGAGTACTGTTTGTACTAATGAAGTAACAACCAAGCCACTTAGTACGCCTTGCTTATATGTTAATTTAGGCACTTTCAGTATTTAACTAGCAAGACTGACAGGAAATCTAGCAAAAAGCAAAAGGAAATTGCAGTAAATGGGCAAAAATTTGGTGTTGGCTAGCTGAAGTAGTTCACTGCCCATCAAGACCTACACAAAGACAAAAAATTCCTGAATGTACTTGTAAGTTAAATGAATACAGGAGGAAAAAAAACCCCAAACCAAAAGAGGAAGCTGCTAGAAGGCAGAGGCTGTCAGAAAGAGCTTCTCTTCAGTTTTGCGACTACTCTTTCC